GGTTCAGAGAGCCAAACAGGACTCTCCACCAGACTTGTTTTAGATTGATTATAATAGACCTATTCTAGGCAATTTAAACATAAATTGATGCTCTGAACCTTAACCAGGTAATCATGGGGGAGCATGTGACAAACCTCAGACAGCTTCAGTGATATTTATCAGGCTCAGCTGGACCCCTGGCTTCCCAGCTGTTGGCAAAATGCTGGTATGTTTATCGAAGGACTGATTGTGAGCTATGTCCCCAGGACTGTGTGCCGCCCAAATCCAATCCTCAGTCTTACCTGCACTGTCTTAAGTGTTATGCTGTGCTGGTTACAATAGGTGGCTTAGCTACCTTGTAGGTTATCCATGGCAGATTTTGTTGACTCTGTCCAGTGACATTGTGCCCAACCATCAACACATTGTTCTGCATCTAGTGAATCCTTAATAATTATTAATTGATGAGGGCATTTTCTCAGTCTGAATGTTTAAACCACATGTTCTCTGAATATGATATGAGTTGCAGCATATTTTAATTAAATACTGACAATTTTAATTCTGATTGCTTATTCTAATACTCCTGAGTTGATAGCATCGAGCTAATGGCTTGTTCAGTTTGGAAGATATTAGCAGCAGGGTGCTGCCAATTACCCAAACATAAGATCATAATAATTAAAATCTGATATTGCTCAAAATGAACTCCTTTAAAACAATTTATATCCCACAAACACACACAGATGCAGGCATGTAAGTGCCAACGTTCTCAAGAATTTACAGCACCTTAGAGAAACCTTGTCCATTCCTTTCCAAAATGAAAAGTTTTCTGTTGATGTGATAAAAGACGCCTTACTAGGTTCAGGGGAAATGTGTATTTCCACTGATCCATTTCTGAGTTTCCCAGAAGAGGGGAGCCACAGAGAAATCCTGAAAACTAATGACTGTGGAAGCAAAGTCTATTTGTACTTTATTGCACCAATCAGAGTCTAAACCACTGAATCAGAGAAGGAGACAAAGGGAAGTCTCGTGTGTACTGGCTGGGAGCTGGGGTGGGGGGCTGGGGATAATGGAGAGAAGAGATGAGCTCTGAGCGTGCAGAGACGGAACAATTTGGAGAGAGGATCCAAGAAGGCAAACACACCATATTGCACCCATTCACTGCTTCCACAAATGAACACTGAGCATCTATCATGCCTCAGGCATTAGAGACCCAGGGTGCTTGCAGCAGAGCCTGATCCTATACCAGACATGCATGTGTGGGCTTTACTGGGCTGTGAGACCCCTCAAGTTGTATGCAAAATCTCATGTGCATGGGTATATATGGGTGAGAACAAAAATAGATGGGCACTTATTTTTTTTCTCATGGGGACAAGGTACACAACATGGATCACATTTTCCAATCCTCCAGGGACCCTTAAAAGGTAAGTAAACATGATAATAGAATATGCCTTCTCTAGTCTTTCTCTAGAAAGAATAAACAAACCAAGATAAAACCAAACAAGTCAACAAACATTGATGTTTTCCTTTCTTTTTTACTTTGGTAAAGTTAAAAAATATTTCCTATAGAACCTCTGCATCCCAAAGGAAATATAAAGATCCCTCCCCCAAAAATAGAGCATTAGAGGACTCAGTTGATTGGCATGCTCTTGGCAACAGAGTTGTGTCACTGGAGATGATTTGAACGAACGGCCCCAGTACTAATCCTTGGTTGGTCGTGTAAAGAACCCTCCAGTGGACAGGCCAGGAGCCCCTTCTCCTAACAGCTGTGACTTCTGAGTGTTTGTTACATTCCAAGCCAATGTCAAAAGCTTTACCTGCACAGCACTGCTCCAGCTAATGCTACTTGATGACGGTAGAATCATTACTAGTCCTGTTTTACAGAAAAGGAAACAGGTTCAGGGACAATCAGTAACAGGTAAAGTTCTACAGTTGGAAGTTTTCTGTAATCCCCCTCCTTCCCCTCAAGAATAGTTATTCACAGCAACACCATGAAGCTGAGGTTGATGTTAGGAAACGAAAGCCACCGTAGAAACCCAAGTCCACCAGATAGTTTTCTCTCACATGAGACTATGAATTAATTTAAAGAGTGTTTAAGAGTTGTCTCCTGGAAAGCAATATCAGGGCCCAGATTTTGTGCAGAATTATTTTTTTAAATATTTTTTTTTAGTTGTAGTTGGACACAATGCCTTTATTTTATTTATTGCTATGTGGTGCTGAGGATCGAACCCAGTGCCTCACACGTGCTAGACGAGTGCTCCACCGCTGAGCCAAAAACCCCAGCCCCAAGAATTGTTTTTCGTTTGTTTCTGTTAGTGGTAACTGAATACAGGAGCCCTCAACTACTGAACTGCATCCCCAGCCCTTCCTTATTTTTTATTTTGAGACAGGCTTTCACTAAGTTGTCTAGGGCCTCCTAAGTAGCCCAGGCTGGCCTTGAACTCGTGACCCTCCTGCCTCAGCCTTCCTAGTTACTGGGTTTACAGGTGCGCACCACTGTTCCCGGTCTCAGAATTGACTATAAAGTTTCCAGAAAAAGTGGATTTGAACTGAGATGGCACAGTGGAGTTGTGGGGAAGTGGGGAATTCTTGAGGATGTAGGACTGAGAACTTCACAGTTTCAAAATCCTGGTCAGCATAGCCTGGCAGCATGGAAGCTTTTCTTACCATCTGGACTGTATTTATGCTTCCCCTGCTCCTTAAAACATTAAGTCACTTAAAACAACGTATTGTGACATTATTTCAAACCTACAGTTGCAAAAATAGTACAAAGAATTCCTGTACACCCTTCACCCAAATCCCACGACAGCTAACATTTTACCACATTTGCTCATCTTTCTCTCTCTCAGTAAACATCTCATCTTCTCATATTTTTTCAAGGAGACAAAATGATGCTCTTTTGCCACTCCTGGGTGTATTTCCCCCAAACAAGGATATCTGCTTCCATAACCACAAAACAACTGATCAAATCATGAAATGATCACAGGTAAGATACTAATTCTCCTACAGACCTTACTCAGATTTCACCAGTTGTCCCAGTTGGACCAGCAGAAGAAAATCCCAGTCACCCGTGGCATTTGGTTGTCATGTCTCTTCAGTTTCCCTCAGCGTGGAATAGTTCCTTGGCCTTCTTTGTCTTTCATGACACAGATATTTTTTTAAAAACAACAGGTAAGTGATTTTGTTGAATGTCTTTTAATTCGAGCTTGACTGACGTCCTCATTAAATTTAGATTTTGCACTTTGGGCAGGAGTATTGCAGAAGTCACTTTGTGCTCTTCTCAGTATGCCATTTTGGGGGTACATAAAACACCTCTCCACTCGTGATATCGACCTTGACCTCTTTGGTAAGCTGGTATCTGCAAGGTTTCTCTGCTGAGAAGGCACTGTTAAGTTACTGTCCCCCATCTTTTTTTTTCACTATTGTGGATTGAAATGAGGCCCACTCTACACTTGATCTATACCTCAGCTCCCTAAGACAAGGTCTTGCTAAGTTGCCCAGGATGGCCTTGACCTGGGATCTGCCTGCCTCAGCCAAGTAGCTGTCATCACAGGAGTGCACCACAGTGCTCCACCACTGCCCCTTTTAACATTACGGATTTTTTTAAAAAAATGTGGTAAAATACACAAAATTTACCACTTTAACTATCTTGGGTGTCCAGTTCAGTGGAATTACTACATTCACACGGCTCTGTGACCACAGCACACCCACCCACAGAACTTTTCCAAGTCTGCATCTGCCAATATTGTGCTGCAATATTACATGGAAGCCCTTGTCCTTATGACTCATGTTACTGCCTCTAGGAAACCCAGAAAACTCTCCTCCCCGAGACACAAAGGCAGGCTGAAGGTCACCATCACAGCATAACTCCTGTTCCCACCTTCTCTGCTCCAAGATGTGCAAGCTCAGCTCCTCTAAGGGACAAACACGAGGACTCGGGCAGGTGCACTCTAGTAACAAAGGACAAACACTTTCACAAACCTGTCCATAGTGGACAAGACCAAGAAAGAAGATGGCTTCACCTTCCACAGAGCCAAAAGTGTATTGTTGGTTTTGTTTAAACCCCAATCTTCCTTCTACAACCTATTTTTTTTTTCCCCAAAGGTGTAGGCTTCACTGAAAACCAGTCCCTGGTGGCCACCAAGTTACTTTTTATCCACATGATTGTGACAACTCTAAGCTCTTCTTGTAAAAAAGTCATAGAGTATTTGTGTTTTTGTGACTGCCTTATTTAACATAACCTAATGTTCTGAAGTTTCATTCATGAATATCCCTGATAAAATACTATCAACTAACCTACGGACCTGAGATTTTCATCGGATTAGCTTGTGTCCAAATTTCCTTCCTTAGTAAGGCTGGATAATGTTCTATTGGATGGAGATGCCACATCTTATTTACCGGCTGGTTGATGGACATTTGGGTTGCTTCCACTCTTTGGCTATTGTGAGCTATGCTGTCACGAACATGGGTGTACAATGACCTCTTAGAGATCCAGTTTTTAATTCTTTTGGGTATATGTCCAGAAGCAAATTATTGAACCATTAATTCTCCTTTCTTAATTAATATGTATTTTGAGACTATGCAAATATCCTGTAATTTTTGTCACACTTTTACCCACAAGTTTTAGCATCTGTTGATTCCTGAGTTGATTATTTGAACGACTGCCAAGTGGCGATTTTTTAATTTCAAAATTCCTTTGACATTTATTATTTTAGCATACCACAATAGGGAGAACCCCATCACCACCTTATTTATGAATATGGACTCATTTTATCCAGTGGGTTATAATCCTTGACTCCGGGACTTCATTCTTCCGAGCAATTCTTTTCTACGTGACTCCCCAAAGCACAAGCTTGGGGAAACGCACGAGCTCACCCCGCGGCCCACCAATGAGCAAGTGCAGGCCGCCAGCCCTGAGCCCTGGCAGCTCTCCCGGCCACGCCCCAGCGGAGTGGGCGGGGCCCTCCAGCACTTCACTTCCCGGCGGCCCGGCGACGTCATCAGCGCGCGCGGCGCGCGCAGCTGACCGGGAGGGCCCGCGGGGGCGGAGGCATGGCGGACGTGTTGAGCGTCGGGGTGAACCTGGAGGCCTTCGCCCAGGCCATCAGTGCCATCCAGGCGCTGCGTTCCAGCGTGAGCAGGGTGTTCGACTGCCTGAAAGATGGCATGCGGAACAAGGAGACGCTGGAGGGCCGGGAGAAGGCCTTTATCGCGCACTTCCAGGACAACTTGCACTCGGTCAACCGGGACCTCAAGTAGGTACCGGCCGAGGGGTCGGCTCGGGCACCCGCCCCATCCCCAGGCAGCGCCCACCCCTCGCGAGTCCTACGGGTCAGGGCTGTTCCCCTTCCGTTTGCGCCGTCCTCTCCGGTCTCTGCCAGCCCCTCGGGGACCCCCTCACCCCGGGCCCCGCCTCCCGGTCTCCATTCTCCGGGCTCCCTAGTCCTGGCTGTTTCCCCCCTCCCTCATCTCGGCTCTGGTGGTCCGTTCCTGAAGAGGCGGCGTGCTCTTCGCAGAACTTCCACCTCTCCTCTGAGCTTAGCAGGTTTCCCACCTGTAGGCCCTCTGCTCCCGGTGGTGTCTGGTCAGACTGTGCTGAGAGTCCGCACAGGACCTGACCAGCACTGCTCAGACCCAGGTGAGTGCATTGGAACTGATTGACCCAGTTGCTCGCCCCCGAACTCATCAGTTGTACCTCACCTCACTCCCAACATGACAAAACAGGCCCTGATCTGTCGTTCTTTCTTCCTCTGCTCCTTCTCAACCACCTGCCCAGCATTGTCACTGCTCCTTGATTGGTCCTGTTCGGCAGATCTTCTTCAGTAGCGACCTGATCTGTAATTGTTAGCCAGCCTGTTCACTTAAGCGAACCCCTGCCCCCAGCAACTCTTAATTTGTGGTCCTTTAGGGCTAGGGATCGTAAATGCCCGTCTTTCTTAAAGTCATCTTCTGCTTCGAGTCTTAATTCATAAGAATTAAATGAGTAGATGTTTGTAAAATGCCAGGCACATGGTAGGTACTTGATGCTTAGGTCCCTAGGTCCCAGACTTACCTTTCCTTTTTTAAGGGAGTTAGTGCTTCCCAGGAAGATTCTTGGCTGGATTATTTTTTATTTGTTTTGATGGTGCTAGGGATCAAACTAAGGACCTCAAGCATGCTGGGCAGGTATTTTACCATTGAAATAATCCTCAGCCCAGATTTTTTTTTTTCAATTTGGTCTCCTTAGTAACAGAGCGAAAAGAGTTGGGATAGAAGGTGGCCAAATGAGGGATACCTTTACCCCATTTTCAGTAGTTGCCATAAATCATATCCCCCTCCTCAGCTGCCACATCCACTTCTTGTTCTTAGGTGTGGTACCCAGCGCCAGTTAATACTTTCCCTACTTGAGGGAATTTCCTGGTTGGTGGTTCTTTTTTTCCATTTCCATTTTCTCTGATTTGCTTTCCTTTGCAATTGTCAAGGTATTATAACCCTTCACCATTTTAGAAACTTTAAAAATGTTAACATTACCCTTTTGCTTTCTTAAATCTTTGTACAGTAGTGTCAAGGAGAAGGAAGCTGAAGATTCTGGAAAGAATGTAGTGTGAGAAGCTTGTGTGCTAAGTCTTTTGTTGGCAGTTGGGGACTGGCCTCTAAGAACATGCTCCTGTAATGTGCTTTTGCTTTTGCTGTTGGCTCACTTTCTCGAGCTTCTCCAGAGTTTTCCTGCTAGACTGAAGTGTGTTTGTTTGACATGGCCCCCTTTGTGGTGTCTTCCCATCTCATTTGTTTATTTTATCTCTTCTTTGTTTTGCTAAGTGTTACCATCTGTGAAGCATCATGTACAAATTTATTCCTATGTGAATGATAAATAATCATCATTTATTCAGGTACTTGCTGTTCTGCCAAATGCAGGGATCTGCACGTGGGTCTTAAAACCCTTAGTGAGAGGCAATGTTGTACCACATTGCAAAATTCCAGAAAGTCTCCTCCTACTGCGGAGACTTAATTCGAGTCGTTAAATCCTCATTTCAGCAGTCTTGCTGATTTTTGTGCCCTTAACCTTTTTTCTCCTTTGCAACAGCACCAGGGAGCCCTTTTTAAAATTAAGATAAAATCCCATAATGGGGTTTTCTTGGTTGTCCCTAATTTTTTTGTTTTGTTTTGGTACCGGGGTGCTTAACCACTGAGCTACTTCTGAGCTCTTCTTTTATTTAGAGAGAGGGTCTCGCTGAATTGCTTAGGGCCTCTTCAAGTTGCTGAGACTGGCCTGGAACTTGTGATCCTCCTGCCTCAGCTTCCCCAGTCTCTGGGACAATAGATGTGCCACTGCCAGGCCCTCTGATGGATACTTTAGAGAGCAGCCTTTAGCCAGTGTGGTCAGCTTCTCTGGAGTTAAGTGAACTCAGGTTTATTTGCTTTATTTATTTATTTTTCAGTGAATTGGAACGTCTGAGCAACTTGGTAGGCAAGCCATCTGAGAACCATCCTCTTCATAACAGTGGGCTGTTAAGTCTGGATCCCGTGCAGGACAAAACTCCCCTCTATAGTCAACTCCTGCAAGCATATAAATGGTCCAACAAGGTAAGGAGACATCATAAATGGAGTTAATAGAGCAAAAGCCAGTCGTTCTTGTCTTTCATAAACGCAGAGAGTGAGGATAAGTTTTTATTTTTTTAAAATTTTGATTAACATAGTGTTATAGAGTTGGAAATTTTAGAATTTTCCTGTAAGCTATTTTGTAGTCCTTTTAAATCTGAGGACTAATAGTGATGCCCAGGTGATTGATTACATTTAATCAGCTTGAGTGTAGGCAGCAGCTTTCATAAGCTTTTGGTATTCTATGAGTGAATGTTGGGGTGTGTGCATTCTTGCCTGAGGAAGGTATCTTAGTGTTCACCAGATTCTTAAGAGGAGTTTATGACACCCAGAAGAGTAAGGACTGGGGTCTAAATGTTTAGGCACTCACATTGTTTTTATTCCTGTGTATCATTGTCTGGTCATGGATGGAACAACATCTCTAGCATGCTGTTTGTTAGATTATTTGCTAATTGTTTTAAATAACTGTAAAGGGAAAACTGAACTGTAGTCTAAAAATAACAGGAGCAGTTAGGCTCATAAGCTGGGAAACAGTTTGTTGACGGATGAGTTCCTTTTGTCTGCTATGTGTTATTGCACGTGTTTGTTTTCCTGTTGATAGGGAGCTAGAAAACAAAACAAAAAAACAAACTCTGCAAAAAACCTGAGGTTTGGAGAAGGCTTTATTGGGTAAGGGAACCAAAATGTTCAGGGAGTTTGTGGTATTAGGCTGAGCTCATGAGGAGCAGGGTGTGCAGGTGGTGTGGCAGGAATCTGCACACTCTTTCTTCCTGAAGGCCTTCTCTACTGTTGGTGTGATATTCTTCAGGTGCTGGAAAAGATGGCCTGGCGTTTTAGGTTTGAGCAACCCTTAAACCTGAAGATCTCCCAGAGCCTACATCAGGTCTTGAGAAAGGATCCTTGCCCTGCTTGGTAGGTGTCCACAGAGACATGCGTTGAACCCTGATGGGCTTCTCAGCTTGGATCTCCTGGAGGACAGGAAGTGATACTCCTTGGGATTGGAGTTGGGAAGTTACCAAAAAGACAGTCGATTAATTCATTTTTCTTTTTTATAGTGAAATACCAGAAGCAGGCCAACTTTATAAAGAAAAGAATTGTGTTTAGCTTTCAGTTTAGTAGCTCAAGGGCAAGGTGCTGGCTTTGGCCTGACTCTGGTGAGATTCTCAGGGTGAATGGCATTATAACAGTGGGAATACACATGAGAGAAATAGATCACCTCATCAGACAGAAAGACAGAGAGGCTGGGCTCCATAGTCTCTTCTGAGGGCGTGTCCTCAGTTGGCCTGAGGACCTACCACTAGGCTCCCACGTCTTAAAGGTTCCACACCATTATTGCCGCACTGAGGACTAAGTTTGAAACACTTGACCCTTTGGGGGGCACATTTGAATATAACCAAACCATAGCAGAGGGGATCAGGCAGACAAAAAAATTATAGATGTCTGTGTAGTTGTTGGGACATGGCACTGTTCTAGCCAATAGCCCTGCCCTCAGACTGTTCTGGGAGAGCTTTCTGCTTCTCCCAGGTGTGCTCTTGGTCATCTGCATGAGTTTTCCTGGTGATTGGTGCAATCTGGTCTGTAGGTTCATGGTGTGGATTTATTTCTGGTTGGATTCCTTATAAAATGTCTTGATTTTTGGTGTTGGGATAAGGAAGTCACTTTGATGTGTCATAGGGGTAAAGTTCTTGAAAGATGTTTAGAGTGACGAGGACTTTTCAGTGATGGGAAGATGTAGGCTGATATCAGAAGTATGAGTTACGGGGACCTACATGGGAAGCAACTGGTATTATGTTGACATGATGACACTGAACATTTGAGTGAAGGTTGTTTAATTATTTTTATTCATTAATTTTAATTGCTCAGCTATTAAAATAGAAGTCTGTGATCCTCACCCTTGCCCCAGGGTGGAAAAGAAAAAATATTATGTATATGGAACCTCTTGCCTTAGATGCCACAGGTTAAAAATACAGGTGATGAATCCTATTCCAATGTGAGCACATGTGGAATTTTAGGCACGTCTCCAGTCTGGTGAGGTGATGCTCCTACAAAGTAAACTGTATTCTTTCACCAGTTTCCTAGTGCCACAAGCAGAGGAGTATAGTCAGAAGATTGAGCCTTTTGGGGAGGGCCCAGAAAATGGAGGCCCGGTGAACTGCCTCTTCCCAGCTCCCCAGCTGGACTAAAATTTGGGTTTCCTAACTTAGTTTGCTGTCATCGCCCCCCCCCCCCCCCCCCCCCCCGCCCCGCCTCTAAAACTTGATGGTTAGTCTTATTTGGTTTAAGGTTTTCAACTATAGAAAACAATTTTTCCCCTTTTGGTTGCATCCAAGAAAGAGTTCACCTTACATTTTATTCATTCAGTCTGTGTGTTTTTTCCTATTTTTCAGTGCTTTAACAAAGAATGGAGATGACATCAAATGCATGTTACCTAGGTCCTCAGGCTATTACTCTTTCCAGGACAGACATCACTGATCAACCATTTCTTCTTTCCTGCTGATACTGTGTGTTGGCTCAGAATCCTTGCAACTCTGGTCATTGCCAGTTACTTATAGGAGGGCTGCAGGGAAAGCCTGTTTGTTATTTGTGTTACAGTAGGTAATTTCCTATGTGACTGTTGTTTATGCCTTACCTTACACTGGGAAGGAATTAAGGTGGATTATAAGAATCCATAAGACCCAGAAAGAAGAGGAAGAACAGGACAAGGATTCTGTATAAATAAACTCAAGAAATAGCCTGGAGAAATAAGCTAGCATTCCAATTTCCAGCTGGCGACATAAAGAGGCAAACAATTAATTATGTGTGTTTATCTTCTCTTGCAAATGAAAAGAGCTTTTTAATTGCTCAAGCTTTCACCATTCATCATTTTACCCTCAAAGATTTGAAACCAGTAAGTGCATTAATATATTAAGTGAAGTTTGGGGTAACTTGCCAATGTCAGCTTTCTGCGCTATTGGCTAAGAATTGAAGGAAGTGTGGGGAAGGCTTTGACACTGCCCGTTATGTGGTGAACTTTCTGTTTTATGTGCTGTTGGCCATAGAAAAGTCTGATGCATGCCTAATGACTAATTATTTTCTTTAGGGGATTTTTGTAATTTTTGTAAAGTCAGTTGGAATAATAATTACATGGAGTTGGTATAATTGTTAGAATAACACATTTAAAAATTAATCTAATTTAGTAAATGATGTCAAATAGCTTTGAGCAGCACTTTTCCTGTGCTGAACTGGAGAAAGAATTTAGCTTTTAACTATTATGCACCTATAGATAATTGTTCTGTGGAAGGATAACAAGCTCTCTTGACTAGGGCAAAAAATAATTGGCATCAACACTACTCTTGCTATAAAATAGTTGGTGCAGCCTTTGTTGCTTATTATGTTCCAACTTGCTCAGGGTTAGGCCAGATTTACCATGAAGGTCCCTTTCTCTTGTTCCCAGTGTCCTGTCACCAGGCTTTAATTTCAGCCTTGACTTTATTTATTTGTGGCAATAGGCTAATCATATAAAGTTGTCCCTTGGTGTCTGTGGAAAGATTGCTTGCAGGAGTCCCCCAATCTCCAGGATGCCGAGTCCCTTATATGAAATGGTTATATTTGCATATAACATATGCATATCCTTCCATATGCAGTGTTGCCCAGACTGGCCTTGAACTTGAGTTCACGTGGTCCTCCCACCTCAGCCTCCCCAGCAGCTGTGATTATGGGTTGATGCACCATTGTATCTGGCTCCTTCCATAGGCTTTAAATCCTCTCTAGATGACTTATAAAGCTTAATACAATGTATGGACTATGTAAATAGTTGCTATGCTATATTGTTTAGGTGATGATGGAAAAAAATTTGAACATTTTTAGTACTGATGCAGTATTTTCCATTAGCAGTTTCCCAAATCTTCAATGGGCAGACCACAGATAGGGAGCCAACTGCATTTGCCTGGAAAATCAGACTAGGTCTTTGCATTTCCCTAGTGATGCTGGGAGCAACAAAGTCCCCCAGAGCATCACTTTCTGTTGGGGTTAGCATGGGCCCAGTGCAAGATACTGTTGCTATCCCTTTTATTTTTACTATGCCTTTTTTTTTTTAATTAAAGAGAACCTTTCTTTTTCAGATACAGTTGCTTGAAACTCTGAAGATATTTGCTTCATTCTATCCTCCTGAACTGTTATCAGCATCTAGTTACTCCGGAGCTATATGTTACTCTGGTGTTTGTTTCTCCATGTTTAAAGGTGCTCTTCCTGTTTTTGCATCCTGGAGTGGACAGGGTTGGAAGTGTTCTACAGTGCAGCACTGAGCTTTTCCTGTAGGGACCTTGTCCTCTTTTAAGGGTAAGCTAGAGAAGAAGAGAGGTACCGTGGCCCCCCTCTTGTTCCTTGTTTGGAGTTGCTGGCATCTAGTAAGACTACTGTACACAGTAAGCATGAAATTAAAATTAACTGAATGAATGAAAGAATAAATAAAAGATTTTTGTGTTGAATTTTTAATTTATAGCCCCTTTGGTGGCTTGTGTGCTTGTATTTTTGATGAAGTACGGTAAGGGCATTTCCATTTTCAGCCATTACTGGGAAGTCTAATGCTGTTGATAGATGAGAAAAAACTCTGAGTTGGTGTGATGATGACCAGGGCTGGCTTCCAGGATGGTAATTTGGAAGGATAGGGCTAGGTTGATGGTGATGATAAGCTCTTTGAGGGCTGAGGTTGGCAGTTTCATCCATGTTGTTTGTCACTGTTGTGCCCTGCAAAGTGAGCCGAGTCAACAGCCAGTGCTTAGGAGGGGATGGGACTTGGTAGAAGTCTCTTGGAGTTGACTAAGTCAGGCTGATTTGAGCAACTACACCTGATACCAGGTGTTCTGTGGCAGCTGTCGTGTTGACAACAATGAAAACACTGTCTAGAAGGGGCAGAGTTGACGCCATTGCTCTTGGGGTTGTTTCACTTTGTGAGTACTGAGAACTCACTTGTGTTCCTGTTGTTTTCCTGGCCACCAGGCCCATCT